CTTGATGTACCAGTACACCCCCTGGACAGGACACTAGTCTATCTCCTGTTTCTGTAGTGATACAGCTTGATGTACAGTACACCCCCTGGACAGGACGCTAGTCTAGGCCCTGCTATGTGTTATAGGTCTAAGCTTTAATACAGCACTCCATCTTAGTTCATTTCAACCAACAGAGACAGCTACAGTAACGTAATCAGTTGCACTGCTGGCTCCTTTTAAGCTATAGGTTTTCACGTCGTTCAATATAATGAAATACAATAATACATTTTATATTAGTGTCCGGGCCCAGGTCTTACAACCTTAACTCCTCCCCTGAGGAAGATAGTATTCTCAGAAGAGGAATTATTAAGTGAACTACCGTAGCACTGCTTTCTCCTTGGTTTTGTGAAGGTCGTTTACTAGGGAATTTCAGTGACACCTTATTTGACACATATCCAACATAAAGACTTCGTAAAACATTCATTAGCATTTATGTCAGCATCCCAAATGACAGCCTAGTCTCTTAAGGGCCCTGGTCAAAGGTAGTTCACTATATAGGGAATAGGGGTGCAATTTAGGACACAACTTCAGCGACGGAGTGTTACCTACATTGCCTTCCAGCGGCATGCTGCGAGGAAAGAAGAAGTATGGGATGGAGGTCAGAGCTAAGCTGGCAGAGGAGATGAGGAGGCCCATCCACCAAGCACCCACCCAGCGAGGGTCTGCAGGGGCCAGCTCAGCATTGGTGACTGGAGGGAGGAGAGAGGAGAGAGGAGAGAGGAAAGTCAGAGGGAGGGTGGAATGGTGAGGGGGAGAGGGGGAGAGAGAAAGAGACAGACAAAAAGAAAGACAGAAACAGATCGAGATTGTAAGAGAGAGACCGAGGCAAAGACAGGGACAGGGACAGAGAGAGAGAGGGACAGGGACAGGGACAGAGAGAGAGAGGGACAGAGACAGAGAGAGAGAGGGACAGGGACAGAGACAGAGACAGAGAGAGACAGGGACAGAGAGAGACAGGGACAGGGACAGGGACAGATCGATGACAGCTCTAACCCGCCACACAACCTCTGCCACCAATGTAATGATCCAAACCCAGTATCTACTGGAACCAGATCTGTCCACCATGTAACAACCTAAACCCAGTACCTACCTGAGCCGGTTCTGTCCACGTCCACATAGATCCTCAGCATGACGGAGCCCAGCAGGAACCCAAAGGCAGGTCCAAACACAGACATAGCAAACAGGATGGCTGGGGAGAAAAGAGACAGTCAAGGTATTTTTCTTTTAGCAGGTCAGTTGACTGAGAACACATTCTCATTTACAGCAACGACCTGGGGAATAGTTACAGGGAAGAGGAGGGGGGATGAATGAGCCAATTGGAAGCTGGGGATGATTAGGTGACCATGATGGTATGAGGGCCAGATTGGGAATTTAGCCAGGACACCGGGGTTAACACCCCTACTCTTACGATAAGTGCCATGGGATCTTCAGTGACCACAGAGAGTCAGGACACCCGTTTAACGTCCCATCCGAAAGACGACACCCTACACAGGGCAATGTCCCCAATCACTGCCCTGGGGCATTGTTTTAGACCAGAGAAAGGAATGCCTCGTACTGGCCCTCCAACACAACTTCCAGCAGCATCTGGCCTCCCATCCAGGGACTGACCAGGGGGATGCAGGGTGGTATGACCAGGGGGATGCAGGGTGGTATGACCAGGGGGATGCAGCGTGGTATGACCAGGGGGATGCAGCGTGGTATGACCAGGGGGATGCAGGGTGGTATGACCAGGGGGATGCAGGGTGGTATGACCAGGGGGATGCAGGGTGGTATGACCAGGGTGGTATGACCAGGGGGATGCAGGGTGGTATGACCAGGGGGATGCAGGGTGGTATGACCAGGGGGATGCAGCGTGGTATGACCAGGGGGATGCAGGGTGGTATGACCAGGGGGATGCAGGGTGGTATGACCAGGGGGATGCAGGGTGGTATGACCAGGGGGATGCAGCGTGGTATGACCAGGGGGATGCAGGGTGGTATGACCAGGGGGATGCAGGGTGGTATGACCAGGGGGATGCAGGGTGGTATGCAGCTGTCATTTTGTCTGTTATACTAGTGTTCCAGTAAGCTGCAGGCCTCTTACCCACACTACCGTTCAAAAGTTTGGGGTCACTTAGAAATGTCCTTGTTTTCGAAAGAAAAGCCATTTTTTTGTCCATTAAAATAACATCAAATTGATCCGAAATACAGTGTAGACATTGTTAATGTTGCAAATGGCTATTGTAGCTTGGAACAGCTGATTTTTAATGGAATATCTACATAGGCGTACAGAGGCCCATTATCAGCAACCCATCAGTTGTTAAATAGTACCCGCAAAACACCAGTCTCAACGTCAACAGTACAACAGGACTCCAGGATGCTGACCATCTAGGCAGAGTTGCAGAGAAAAAAACATATCTCATACTGGCCAATAAAAAGAAAAGATTAAGATGGGCAGTCTGAGATATGGCTTTTTCTATGAAACTGCCTAGAAGGTCAGCATCCTGGAGTCGCCTCTGCACTGTTGACGTTGAGACTGGTGTTTTGCAGGTTCTATTTAATGAAGCTGCCAGTTGAAGACCTGTGAGGCGCCTGTTTCTCAAACTAGATACTCTAATGTATATGTCCTCTTGCTCAATTGTGCACTGGGGCCTCCTACTCCTCTTTCTATTCTGGCTAGAGCCAGTTTGCGCTGTTCTGTGAAGGGAGTAGTACACAGCGTTGTACGAGATCTTCAGTTTCTTGGCAATTTCTCGCATGGAATAGCCTTCATTTTTCAGAACAAGAATAGACTGACGAGTTTCAGAAGAAAGTTATTTTTTTCTGCCCATTTTGAGCCTGTTATCGAACCCACAATTGATGATGCTCCAGATACTCAACTAGTCTCAAGAAGGCCAGTTTTATTGCTTCTTCAATCAGCACAGTTTTCAGCTGTGCTTTTTCTGATCAATTTTATGTTATTTTAATGGACAAAAAAAATGCTTTTCTTTCAAAAAAACAAGGACATTTCTAAGTGACCCCAAACTTTTGAACGGTAGTGTATGTAGAGGGACTAGTGTTTCAGTAAGCTACAGGCCTCTTACCAATGTAGAGGGACTAGTGTTTCAGTAATCTACAGGCCTCTTACCAATGTAGAGGGACTAGTGTTTCAGTAATCTACAGGCCTCTTACCTATGTAGAGGGACTAGTGTTTCAGTAATCTACAGGCCTCTTACCTATGTAGAGGGACTAGTGTTTCAGTAATCTACAGGCCTTATACCTATGTAGAGGGACTAGTGTTTCAGTAATCTACAGGCCTCTTACCAATGTAGAGGGACTAGTGTTTCAGTAATCTACAGGCCTCTTACCTATGTAGAGGGACTAGTGTTTCAGTAATCTACAGGCCTTATACCTATGTAGAGGGACTAGTGTTTCAGTAATCTACAGGCCTCTTACCAATGTAGAGGGACTAGTGTTTCAGTAATCTACAGGCCTCTTACCTATGTAGAGGGACTAGTGTTTCAGTAATCTACAGGCCTCTTACCAATGTAGAGGGACTAGTGTTTCAGTAATCTACAGGCCTCTTACCAATGTAGAGGGACTAGTGTTTCAGTAAGCTACAGGCCTCTTACCAATGTAGAGGGACTAGTGTTTCAGTAATCTACAGGCCTCTTACCTATGTAGAGGGACTAGTGTTTCAGTAATCTACAGGCCTTATACCTATGTAGAGGGACTAGTGTTTCAGTAATCTACAGGCCTCTTACCAATGTAGAGGGACTAGTGTTTCAGTAATCTACAGGCCTCTTACCTATGTAGAGGGACTAGTGTTTCAGTAATCTACAGGCCTTATACCTATGTAGAGGGACTAGTGTTTCAGTAATCTACAGGCCTCTTACCAATGTAGAGGGACTAGTGTTTCAGTAATCTACAGGCCTCTTACCTATGTAGAGGGACTAGTGTTTCAGTAATCTACAGGCCTTATACCTATGTAGAGGGACTAGTGTTTCAGTAATCTACAGGCCTCTTACCAATGTAGAGGGACTAGTGTTTCAGTAATCTACAGGCCTCTTACCTATGTAGAGGGACTAGTGTTTCAGTAATCTACAGGCCTCTTACCAATGTAGAGGGACTAGTGTTTCAGTAAGCTACAGGCCTCTTACCAATGTAGAGGGACTAGTGTTTCAGTAAGCTACAGGCCTCTTACCAATGTAGAGGGGGGAGTTGCCTTGTCCGGCGAAGTCATCCACATAAGAGATACCAAAGGGTTGTATGGGAACAGACCCCACCCCGAACAGCAGCTGAGCTATAGCCATGAGCAGCCACAGGTTATTGGTGTCTGCTATACGTTTGGTCTCTGCTTTCCCACAGGCCTCTGTCCCGTTGGAGGTACCCTGCAGTGAACACAGGTCTTGGCGATCTGGGGGAAAACACACACATTCACGCACGCACACACACACACACACACACACAGTTAATTACAGGCTCGTGAACTATACACACAGCTGAGTTAATGTTCCTGGAGTTTCATTTGACCCTTCAGTGGATACAATGAGGAGCCCAGCCAGCCAGAGTACTGTGTGTGTGTGTGTGTGTGTGTGTGTGTGTGTGTGTGTGTTTGTATGTGTGTGTGTTTGTATGTGTGTGTGTGTGTAATGAAAGTGAACAGAGCTCTGAGTTAAATCAACTGCCTGGGAGACAGTCCTAATCTTTTGGGCTTTCCTGGAGTACTCAGAGATTAAACATTTTCCATATGATTTATGCTGATCGGGTTCAGCTAGAGAGCACCTGCAGCCCAGGCTGGCTCTCACAATCCACCACTCTAAATCCATCCACCAGTCTAAATCCATCCACCACTCTAAATCCATCCACCACTCTAAATCCATCCATCCACCACTCTAAATCCATCCATCCACCACTCTAAATCCATCCACCACTCTAAATCCATCCACCACTCTAAATCCATCCACCACTCTAAATCCATCCGCCACTCTAAATCAATCCACCACTCTAAATCCATCCACCCACTCTAAATCCATCCGCCACTCTAAATCCATCCGCCACTCTAAATCCATCCGCCACTCTAAATCCATCCACCCACTCTAAATCCATCCATCCACTCTAAATCCATCCACCACTCTAAATCCATCCACCACTCTAAATCCATCCGCCACTCTAAATCCATCCACCACTCTAAATCCATCCACCACTCTAAATCCATCCATCCACTCTAAATCCATCCTGCCACTCTAAATCCATCCTGCCACTTTAAATCCATCCGCCAGTCTAAATCCATCCACCACTCTAAATCCATCCACCACTCTAAATCCATCATGCCACTTTAAATCCATCCATCCACTCTAAATCCATCATGCCACTTTAAATCCATCCATCCACTCTAAATCCATCCACCACTCTAAATCCATCCACCAGTCTAAATCCATCCATCCACTCGATGACAGGCTGAACCAGGTCCAACACACTGAGACTGCTGCTTTATAGAGACTGACTGTGGATGATACTTGCATTGCCATACACTAGGTTTTAAAACTCATGGGGCCAGTTTCCCGGACACAGCAATAGCCTAGTCCTGGAACAACAAACATTTTCAATGGAGACTTAGTCAGAGGTACACTACCGTTCAAAAGATTGGGGTCACTTAGAAATGTCCTTGTTTTCCATGAAAACATACATGAAATGAGTTTGAATAGGAAATATAGCAAAATGAATAGGAATCGTAGTCATTGACAAGGTTAGAAATAATGATTTTTAATTGAAATAATAATTGTGTCCTTCAAACTTTGCTTTCGTCAAATAATCCTCCATTTGCAGCAATTACAGCCTTGCAGACATTTGGCATTTCTAGTTGTCAATTTGTTGAGGTAATCTGAAGAAATTTCACCCCATGCTTCCTGAAGCACCTCCCACAAGTTGGATTGGCTTGATGGGCACTTCTTACGTACCATACGGTCAAGCTGCTCCCACAACAGCTCAATAGGGTTGAGATCCGGTGACTGTGCTGGCCACTCCATTATAGACAGAATACCAGCTGACTGGTTCTTCCCTAAATAGTTATTGCATAGTTTGGAGCTGTGCTTTGGGTCATTGTCCTGTTGTAGGAGGAAATTGGCTCCAATAAAGCCCCTTCCACAGTTGAGGACCTGTGAGGCGTCTGTTTCTCAAACTAGACACTGATGTATTTGTCCTCTTGCTCAGTTGTGCACCGGGGCCTCCCACTCCTCTTTCTATTCTGGTTAGAGCCAGTTTGCGCTGTTCTGTGAAGGGAGTAGTACACATCGTTGTACGAGATCTTCAGTTTCTTGGCAATTTCTCGCATGGAATAGCCTTCATTTCTCAGAACAAGAATAGACTGACAAGTTTCAGAAGAAAGTTATTTTTTTCTGGCCATTTTGAGCCTGTAATCGAACCCACAATTGCTGATGCTCCAGATACTCAACTAGTCTCAAGAAGGCCAGTTTTATTGCTTCTTTAATCAGCACAACAGTTTTCAGCTGTGCTAACATAATTGCAAAAGGGATTTCTAATGATCAATTAGCCTTTTAAAATGATAAACTTGGATTAGCAAACACAATGTGCCATTGGAACACAGGACTGATGGTTGCTGATAATGTGCCTATGTAGATATTCCATTAAAAATCAGCCATTTACATCATTAACAATGTCTACATTGTATTTCTGATCAATTTGATGTTATTTTAATGGACAAAAAAAATTGCTTTTCTTTTGAAAACAAGGACATTTCTAAGGGACCCCAAACTTTTGAATGGTAGTGTACATCCTTGGTATTGCGGAAAACGATTGTAGCTGTAATAGAGATATATTTAATCCCTAGATCTTACCATGTATGGCAGAGTCGTACTCATAGGGCTGGGACAGGAAGTGAGGTAGGGCCAGGATCAGAGCACTGATGGACATCAGTAGACCACCCAGTCCAATGAGACGAGGCCGATGGACCCTGCTGCCCAGGTAACTCACAAACACTATCAAAACTGTGTTCCCCACCTAGTGGGAGGAAGGGAGGGACAGCGAGGGGGGGGGAGAGAGAGAGAGAGAGAGAGAGAGAGAGAGAGTGGGTCAAGTCCTTCTGACCAGGAGGATACAGTAGCAATGCACGGTCAGTGAATGGCTGCTTGTTTTCTACTTGTTATCTAGGAGCAGGGATCCGACAGCACTTCAACAAAAGCAGGTGGCATATTCATATAATACTAATATAATAAATCAGATCACAACACCATCCAAGTGCTTGTGCATTTCTACTCTTTCAGTACCACATGAGATTAATCTAACATGAGTTTACTGTGCTGTGGTTACTGGTTGGCTCCTACCTCGTGCAGAGAGGAGATGGTGCCAGAGGAGAAACTGCTGAGGCCGAAGCGTCTCTCGATGGTGGTGATGGTGCTCTTAAAGTAGGAGCTGTACAGGAGCTGGGTTAGCTGCAGCAGGCCATGACACAGCACAAACAGCTAGAGAGAGAGAGAGAGATAATCTGTTAGAGAGGAGAGACAGAGAAAGAGAGGAGAGAGAGAGGAGAGAGAGAAAGAGAGAGAAAGAGAGCTAGAGTTGAGAGAGAAAGAGAAAGAGAGAGAGAGGAGAGAGAGAGAGCGAGAGAGGGAGAGAGAGGGAGAGAGAGGGAGAGAGAGAGCGAAAGAGAGAGCGAAAGAGAGAGCGAGAGAGAGAGAGAGAAGAGCAGAAGCGAGAAAGAGGCGAGAAGAGAGCGGCAAGAAGAGATGAGCAGAGAGGGCGAGATGAAGAGCAGGAGAGCGAGAGAGCAAAGGGGAGAGAAAAGAGAGACAAAAGAGAGATAGTGATTGAGCGAAAGTCGAGAGAGAAACAGAGAGAGAGATAGATAATTGAGAGAGCAAAATATAGAGAGAAGGGGAGAGACAGGATGAGAGGAGAGAGATAGCGAGAAGAGAGAAGAAGAATAGAGCTAGATGTCGAGAAGAGATACGGAATCGAAGAGAGAGATAGCAGATGAGGTGCAGAGAAGAAAAGGTTAGGAGATGTTTTTTAGAGGATATGCAGAAAGAGAGGTAAGTAGAAGAGATACATAAGAGCTAATAGAGCTAGCGATATGAAGATAAGTAGATATAATAACAGAGAATAGAAGTCGATAGATAAGTAAGCGAGAGATGGAGAGAGAGGGAAGAGGAGAAAGATCGAATAGTAGAGAGCGAGAGAGAGCGAGATATATAGATAGCGAAGATAGCGAGCGAGATAGAGAAGAGAGCGAGATTAGATAGATCGAGAGGAGAGAGAGAATGAGCGAGAGTAGCGAGAGGAAGAAGAAGAGAGAAGAATAGAAGAAAACAGGAAGAAGAGAGCGCGAAGATAAGAGAGAGCGAGAGAATAACGAGAGGAGGAGATCGAAAGAGAGATTAGAGAAATGTCTTAGAAAAACTAACAGGAAAAACATCTAGTAATCAGAGAGAGATGGTCTCTTAGAAATCGACAGGACAAAACACAGAGGGGACATAAAGTGCGAGATGGGGGTGGAGCCCAGGGCATCCAAGAATATGGAGATTGACCACAAGATGAGTAATAATTGTCATGCCGGTAACGTTTGAGCCCAAAGCTCATCAGTCAACTTATGCACTATGACGATTGACTTTACTCCTAATGATAGTCTCTAACATTAGAGACAATAGTGTGTTGCCGCAGCGACGGCAACAGCTGATACTGGGACCGTCAGAATACATAAAGGAGCCTGGTGCTGAGTGGCAGGTAGCCTAGTGGTTAAGAGCGTTGTGCCAGTAACCGAAAGGTCGCTGGTTCTGATCCCAGAGCCGACTAGGCGAAAAATCTGTCGATGTGCCCTTGAGCAAGGCACTTAACCCTAATTGCTCTTGTAAATTCGATCTGGATTAAGAGCATCTGCTAAATGACAACCAAAAAAAAACAGTTTTGCTGCAGCGACGGCAACAGTTGATACTGACTGTAACCCCCAGAACCACAAAGCTGCATGATGGCACCGAGGTTGATAACCCTGCCAGAGCTGCCGACGAAGTCCCTGAATTCTCCTGATTCATCTCTATTAAAAGGGCCACTCACACAGAGACAATGAAGTTAGCTAATGCAGCCGCAACTCCAACAGTTGATACTGTACACAGAGCTGCATAGCGGTGAACTCCTTGAATATAACCTAATTAATAGATTAAACTTCATTAACGTTCACAATACAAATATCCAGACTGCATCTCCTGTCTGCGTCATCCAGGGTAGTCACATAATAATATAATATAATAATAATAATAATAATAATAATAATAATAATAATAAGCCATTTAGCAGACGCTTTTATCCAAAGCGACTTACAGTCATGCGTGCATACATTGTTGTGTATGGGGTGGTCCCGGGGATCGAACCCACTACCTTGGCGTTCCAAGCGCCGTGCTCTACCAGCTGAGCTACAGAGGACCACATGACACGCACGCACGCGCACACACTCCCTCCCTCCCTCCCTCTAACCTGAGGTCTCCAGCCTCTGCTACAGTGGAGGAGAAACAAGCTATGGATGGGACAGTCTTAATAAAGCCACTAGCCAGAGTACACAACACATCCAACATCAGCTGTCTAGTCCAGACCCAGTCTAATCTGAGTGTGTCTGAAAGAGAGTGTGACTTTTCCCCCCAGAGACGTACTGAAGTCTAAATCAACACCTTCATTGTCTGAAATGGAACCCTATTACCTACACTCTTGACTCTAGGGCCCTGGTAAAAAAGTAGTGGACTATCTAGGGAATAGGGTACCATTTGGGATGCACTCAGAAAAAAAAAAGCCTAATGTTTGATTGTATCCATCATTAGCTCCTGACTGAGACGACAGACTCAGAGCTCTGTAACTAACAGCGGTTAAAACCCTGCCTGTTATAGCCCCAGCTGGTTGGCTGTGATTAGATCTGAAGACGCTGTAGGTCGCAGTTGTAAAATGGAAATTTGGAGTAGCAGTCAAAATGTTTTCAATTAGAAACTGAAGCTGTTAGCTAGCAGTTCGCAGCTGTTAGCAGCCTGTTAGCTAGCAGTTCTCAGCTGTTAGTAGTTTACCTTAGTTTACATTTCAGTCATTTAGCAGACGCTCTTATCCAGAGCGACTTACAGTTAGTGAGTGCATACATTATTTGTTTATACTGGCCCCCTGTGGGAATCGAACCCACAACCCTGGCGTTGCAAACGCCATGCTCTACCAACTGAGCTACATCCCTGCCGGCCATTCCCTCCCCTACCCTGGACGACGCTGGGCCAATTGTGCGCCGCCCCATGGGTCTCCCGGTCGCGGCCGGCTACGACAGAACCTGGATTCGAACCAGGATCTCTAGTGGCACAGCTAGCACTGCGAAGCAGTGCCTTAGACCACTGTGCCACTCGGGAGACTCGGGAGACAGCTTTCCTGTTAGCTAGCAGTTCTCAGCTGTTAGTAGCCTGTTAGCTAGCAGTTCGCAGCTGTTAGTAGCCTGTTAGCTAGCAGTTCTCAGCTGTTAGCAGCCTGTTAGCTAGCAGTTCTCAGCTGTTAGCAGCCTGTTAGCTAGCAGTTCTCAGCTGTTAGTAACCTGTTAGCTAGCAGTTCTCAGCTGTTAGTAGCCAGTTAGCTAGCAATTCTCAGCTGTTAGCAGCTAGTTAGCTAGCAGTTCTCAGCTGTTAGCAGCTAGTTAGCTAGCAGTTCTCAGCTGTTAGTAGCCAGTTAGCTAGCAATTCTCAGCTGTTAGCAGCTAGTTAGCTAGCAGTTCTCAGCTGTTAGCAGCCAGTTAGCTAGCAGTTCTCAGCTGTTAGCAGCCAATGACTAGCAGTTTCTTACTTGCGATAATAGAGGATTCCCATCATTGTTTTGAGTCATTACTGAATTATTTAATGTAACAAATCAAAAATGAAACCTTGTATACAATTCATGGTTATCTTAAACAATTAAAATAGACCCGGCGTTTATTTGAAACAGGCGTTTATTTGCTGAAATGTGTGCCGTCGCCCGGCTATTAAAAAGGGACAGGCGGCTATTTGAGAATCAGCGTTTAATTGAAGTTTTACGGAAGTGCACTACTTTTGACCAGGACCCATAGTAGTGCACTATAGTAGTGTACCAGAATCTCCAGGGGCCATGGTGTGTAGACATGATCCATAGACTGTTCTCTCTGCTACCGCACGGCAAGCGGTACCAGTGCACCAAGTCTGGAACCAACAGGACCCTGAACAGCTTTAACCCCCAAGCCATAAGACTGCTAAACAAGACTGCTAAATAGCTCATCAAAGCTAAGCTAAGGACCGTGGGACTAAACACCTCCCTCTGCAACTGGATCCTGGTCCCTCCTGACGGGCCGCCCCCAGGTGGTGAGGGTAGGTAACAACACATCTGACACGCTGATCCGCAACACTGGGGCCTCTCAGGGGTGCGTGCTTAGTCCCCTCCTGTACTCCCTGTTCACCCACGACTGCGTGGCCAAGCACAACTCCAACACCATCAAGTTTGCTGAGGACACAACAATGGTAGGCCTGATCACCGACAACGATGAGACAGCCTATAGGGAGGAGGTCAGAGACCTGGCTGTGTGGTGCCAGGATAACAACCTCTCCCTCAACGTGATCAAGACAAATGAGATGATTGTGGACTACAGGAAAAAAAAAGAGGACTGAGCACGCCCCCATTCTCATCGACGGGGCTGTAGTGGAACAGGTTGAGAGCTTCAAGTTCCTTGGTGTCCACATCACCAACAAACTATCATGGTCCAAACACACCAAGACAGTCGTGAAGAGGGCACGACAAAGCCAATTCCCCCTCAGGAGACTGAAAATATTTGGCATGGGTCCTCAGATCCTCAAAAAAGTTCTACAGCTGCACCATCGAGAGGATCCTAACTGGTTGCATCACTGCCTGGTATGGCAACTGCTCGGCCTCCGACCGCAAGGCACTACAGAGGGTAGTGCGTACGGCCCAGTACATCACTGGGGCCAAGCTTCCTGCCATCTAGGACCTCTATACCAGGCGGTGGCTAGAATACATTTTTTAAATATAGGACAAAATACACATCAAGCCAAGAGAGACACCACAACACTACATAAAGAGAGACCTAAGACAACATAGCATGGCAGCAACACATGACAACACAGCATGGTAGCAACACCACATGACAACAACATGGCAGCAGCACAACATGGTAGCAGCACAAAACATGGTACAAACATTATTGGGCACAGACAACAGCACAAAGGGCAAGAAGGTAGAGACAACAATACATCACACGAAGCAGCCACAACTGTCAGTAAGAGTGTCCATGATTGAGTCTTTGAATGAAGAGATGGAGATAAAACTGTCCAGTTTGAGTGTTTTTTGCAGCTCGTTCCAGTCGCTAGCTGCAGCGAACTGAAAAGAGGAGGGACCCAGGGATGGGTGTGCTTTGCTTTCTTATGGAGCCAAACCAAACGTAACATATCAGGATTTACATTTACTATGGTACATCTAGTCTATGAGACCAGGCTACCTGCACTGACTCTATGCACACACACTGGACTCTACCCACACACTGGACTCTACCCACACACTGGACTCTACCCCACACACTGGACTCTACCCCACACACTGGACTCTACCCCACACACTGGACTCTACCCCACACACTGGACTCTACCCACACACTGGACTCTACCCCACACACTGGACTCTACCCCACACACTGGACTCTACCCCACACACTGGACTCTACCCCACACACTGGACTCTACCCCACACACTGGACTCTACCCCACACACTGGACTCTACCCCACACACTGGACTCTACCCCACACACTGGACTCTACCCCACACACTGGACTCTACCCCACACACTGGACTCTACCCCACACACTGGACTCTACCCACACACTGGACTCTACCCACACACTGGACTCTACCACACACTGGACTCTACCCACACACTGGACTCTACCCACACACTGGACTCTACCCACACACTGGACTCTACCCACTCACTGGACTCTATCCACACACTGGACTCTACCACACACTGGACTCTACCCACACACTGGACTCTCCCACACACTGGACTCTACCCACACACTGGACTCTACCACACACTGGACTCTACCCACACACTGGACTCTACCCCACACACTGGACTCTACCCCACACTGGACTCTACCCACACACTGGACTCTACCCACACACTGGACTCTACCCACACACTGGACTCTACCCCCACACTGGACTCTACCACACACTGGACACTACCCACTCACTCACACTGACACCCCAACACGCACGGACGCACACACAGTCACTTTACCCCTACCTATATGTACATAGCTACCTCAATTACCTCGTACCCCTGCACATTGACTCGGTTCTGCTCCTCCCTGTATATAGCCATTATTACCTGGTAACCCTGCACATTGACTCGGTTCTGCTCCTCCCTGTATATAGCCATTATTACCTGGTAACCCTGCACATTGACTCGGTTCTGCTACTCCCTGTATATAGCCATTATTACCTGGTAACCCTGCACATTGACCCGGTTCTGCTCCTCCCTGTATATAGCCATTATTACCTGGTAACCCTGCACATTGACTCGGTTCTGCTCCTCCCTGTATATAGCCATTATTACCTGGTAACCCTGCACATTGACTCGGTTCTGCTCCTCCCTGTATATAGCCATTATTACCTGGTAACCCTGCACATTGACTCGGTTCTGCTACTCCCTGTATATAGCCATTATTACCTGGTAACCCTGCACATTGACTCGGTTCTGCTCCTCCCTGTATATAGCCATTATTACCTGGTAACCCTGCACATTGACCCGGTTCTGCTACTCCCTGTATATAGCCATTATTACCTGGTAACCCTGCACATTGACCCGGTTCTGCTACTCCCTGTATATAGCCATTATTACCTGGTAACCCTGCACATTGACCCGGTTCTGCTACTCCCTGTATATAGCCATTATTACCTGGTAACCCTGCACATTGACTCGGTTCTGCTACTCCCTGTATATAGCCATTATTACCTGGTAACCCTGCACATTGACCCGGTTCTGCTACTCCCTGTATATAGCCATGTTATTTTTATTTGTTATTGTTATTCATTATTCACTCTGTATTTATTTATCATGTCACTATTTCGAAACATTTTTTAATTTTATCGCTGCATTGTTGGAAAATGACCCGTAAGTAAGAATTTCACTGTTAGTCTACACCTGTTGTGACAAATCAAATGGTATTATATTTAATCCCAGGCCCGAGGAGACATGTTGAGGTTTAGAAGTGGATTGACTATGAAAACAGCAGCGGTAAATCTATTTACCAGCTGTCGAGTGACAGGCTGAGGCAGAGTCAACTATAGTGCACCACATTTCTAGTGCACTATCTAGGGGATAGGGTGCTATTTGGAATGTAGCCTCAGTCCGATTCCAGAACACTTAATGCTCCTATTAAAGCCTGGCTTGGTTAGCACACACAAGAGATACAAGTTCATCCCTGTAACAAGTAGGTCTTTCATTAATAACGTTTCGACTAGACCTGTTGGCTCAGGCAACCAAACGAGCTGAAAAACCTTTTGTTTTGTGATCTAGTTTAAAACAAAGGGTTATCAGTTTGAATGGCAAGTCTGGCAACATTATCCTCTACTGCTATTGAAGCCTTGGGGTACCTCAGGGTAGAGCTATAAATCAGAGTTAACTTTTTGTGGACTGGCACCCCAATGGTGGAACAAGCTCCCTAATGACGCCCAGGACTGACCACCTTCCGGAGACACTTGAAACCATACCTCTTTAAGGAATACCTGGGATAGTATAAAAGTAATCATTCTACCCCCCCCCCCCACACACACAAAAAAATACATACAAAATAATAAAAACAAATAATAATAATTATAATAAAAGATAAAAAAGGTAAAAAAAATTAACTAAATATAAAGGTAAAAAAATTAAAACATTTAATTATTTAAAAAAAAAAATATATATATATATATATATATATATATATATATATATATATATATATATATATTATACAAATGAAAATTATAAATATACTCTAAAAATTAAGAATTACATTTTTTTGTAAAATATTAAAAACAAATTGTAAAGTGGTTGTCCCACTGGCTATCATAAGGTGAATGCACCAATTTGTAAGTCACTCTGGATAAGAGCGTCTGCTAAATGACGTAAATGTAATAAGCATCAAATCTGTTTTACTGCCTCTCTAACCATGAAAATAGAAGCATTCAAATATTATGTTTCAGGTTTGAAAGGAAATCTAGATGGCTAACCCAAACTGTATTTGTCAAATGATTCGTAAATACACAGGTGTATCCCAACAATGCAGAGAGAAAAAAATGAGAAATAGTTAAAAAGAGAGAGAAATAATAAATAAACAAGAAGTAACAATAACATGGCTATATACAGTACCAGTACCGAGTCCATGTGCAGGGGTACCAGGTAATAACTTGGCTATAAACACGGGGTACCAGTACCGAGTCCATGTGCAGGGGTACGAGGTAATAACTTGGCTATAAACACGGGGTACCAGTACCGAGTCCATGTGCAGGGGTACCAGGTAATAACTTGGCTATAAACACGGGGTACCAGTACCGAGTCCATGTGCAGGGGTACAAGGTAATAACTTGGCTATAAACACAGGGTACCAGTACCGAGTCCATGTGCAGGGGTACAAGGTAATTGAGGTAGCTCATCCAGTTTATTCTCCAGTGATTGCACGTTCGCCAATAGAACGGAGGAGGGTAGAGGCGATTTCTTGTCAGGTATCCCGCACACCGGCCTCTATGGGGGGCATCTCCTCCTTCTTCGAGTTTGAAGTAGAAGTCCTCGTCCGAATGGAGGTTAGTGACAGCTGTTCTGATGTCCAGAAGCTCTTTTCGGAGCAAAAAAAGTCACAAACTAGCACAATTGGTCAGGAGCCCATTAAACGGCGGCCATTCCCTCCGGCGCCGTTATATTTCAAAGTCCCAGACTTTATCCTCCATGATTCTACTCATGTACAGTGGGGAGAACAAGTATTTGATACACTGCTGCCGATTTTGCAGGTTTTTCCTACGAAAGAAGAAAGAAAGAAAGAAAGAAAGAAAGAAAGAAGAAAGAAAGAAAGAAAAAAAAAGAAGAAAAAAGAAAAAAAAGAAAGAAAGAAAAAAAGAAAAAAAAAGAAAGAAAAGAAAGAAAGAACCCCAACAAAAAATAAGAAGAAAAAAAGAAAGAAAAAACCCCCAAAGAACCCAAAACCCCTCAAAAAGAAACCCGGGAAAAAACCCCCCCCACTAAAACCAAAACCATCCCATCCCTCCCCCTACCCTCCCTCCCCCCCCCCCAACGACCTCCTCCCCTCCCTCCCCTCAACCCTCCCCCACCTCCCTCCCCCTCCACCCCCCAACCCTCCCACCTCCCTCCCCCTCACCCCTCCCCCACTCCCTCCCGCCCCCCCCCTCCCTCCCCCCTCCCTCCCCCCCCTCCCCCCCCCCCCTCCCTCCCTCCCTCCCCCCCCCTCCCCTCCTCCCTCCCCTCCCTCCCCCCCCCCCTCCCTCCCTCATCCCTCCCCCCCCTCCCTCCCCCCCGGGCCCCCCCCCCTCCCTCCCCCCCCCTCCCCCCCCCCTCCCCCTCCCCCCCCCTCCCCCCCCCTCCTCCCTCCCTCCCTCCCCCCCCCTCCCTCCCTGCCCTCCCCCCTCCACCTACGAGAGAACTCAAACCAACGTAAGTAGAAACATCAAGATCCTATGCATACCCACTAACCTTGTACCCATTCCCCTAGTTACCTGTCTCAGACAGAACTGGCTGACTTTCATCTAAAGCACACTTGGCGGTCCCAATGGAACCTATCCAGCCGGTCCAAAGTCTTTTGTCAGTATCCCCCCCCCTCTATGGGGGCATTCCTCCTTTCGATGAATGAGTGTCCGAATGGAGGTAGTGACAGCTGTTCTGATGTCCAGAAGCTCTTTCGGAGTCAAAAAAATCACAAACTAGCACAATTGGTCAGGAGCCCATTAAACGGCGGCCATTCCCTCCGCGCCGTTATATTTCAAAGTCCCAGACTTTATCCTCCATGATTCTACTCATGTACAGTTGGGGAGAACAAGTATTTGATACACTGCCGATTTTGCAGGTTTTCCTACTGAAAGAAAGAAAGAAAGAAAGAACGAAAAAAGAAAGAAAGAAAGAAAGAAAGAAAGAAAGAAAGAAGAAAGAAAGAAAGAAGAAAAGAAAGAAGAAAGAAAGAAGAAGACAAAGAAATAAGAAGAAAAACGAAAGAAATCCACAATCACTCCCTCCCACAGCACCTCATCCCCATCAAACACTCCCATAAGCCCTCCTCCCTCCCCCCATCCCTCCCTAACTCCCTACCTCATCCCTCATCCTCACTCCTCCCGCCCCCCGACACCCTCCCTACCGCCCTACCTCCCTCCTCCTCTCCTCCCTCCCTCCCTCCCCCGCCTCCCTCTCCCTCCCCCTCCCTCCTCTCCTCCCTCTCCCTCCCTCCCCCCCCCTCCCCCCCCTCCTCCCTCCCTCCCCTCCTCCCTCCCCCCTCCCTCCCTCCCTCCCTCCCGCCCGTCCCTCCCTCCTCCCTCCCTCCCTCCTCCCTCCTCCTCCCTCCCCCCCCCTGCCCTCTCCCTCCCTCCCCCTCCCGCCCCCCTCCCTCCCTCCCTCCCTCCCCCCTCCCTCCCTCCCTCCCTAATACAAGCGGCCCTACCTCCCCATCCATGTTTCTCCACAGCTTTTCGCCCCCTTCTTTCCTTTCTCATTCGCTGACATGTTGTCAGTCAGAAAGACACACCTTGGCCGGGTCCCAAATGGAACCCTATTCTCTAAGGCTCTGGTCAAAAGTAGTGCACACTGATGGGATAGGGTTTGCCCTTTGGGACGCAAACCCTTCTCTGTCCATAGAGGGTGTAGCCACTAGCCAACCAACAGAAGAGAGATCTAAGCTCAGGTGACAAGTAATGAATAAGGACCAACCACAGAATGTTCTCTAAATCCAAAGCCAAAGCCATGTCCAATCTGTGGTGACAAGCTGTGTTGATAGTAATACAACTTTTTGAACCCTTTGTTGACATGCCTGACTGCCTGAACCTAGGTGTCAGTTTGATTTAACACAGTTCCTCATGCAACTAAAGCAAAGTTTAGGAGAAAATATATTATCTTCAGTTTTGCAGTTTCCAGGCCAAGTCCATCTATCAGAAAGGTAAAGGTTGCCAAATGCTCTGGCTTTATAGATTCTCTCAGAGGCTAGAACCTCACAGGATTTTGCAACAAAACAAATTTGCTAAATTTTCTGATCAACGAACATTCCTTCCTTAACATTGTTGTAATTAAAATAATTGTGGTCACATACAGTGCATGTGAAGAAGTGCTTAGGGCTACTGTGAATTTGACCATTGAGACATTTTTCTACATAGTAAACAGTATGGGTTTGACACATCAGTTTTCTGAGACCTATAAAGATGTTATGTTTTTTTCAGATTATTTAAACTCTTTGCACACATGCTTCTGTGAAACAGCGTTTCTTCTGACACATATTATCCCTGAGTTTCCAATTGTTTCTTATGCCTGAGAACAGGGTCATGTTCAGTATAGCGCAAGCGTTTGGAAACTGAGTGATACAGGGAGGCAGTATCTATGCTGAGTGATACAGGGAGGCAGTATCTATGCTGAGTGATACAGGGAGGCAGTATCTATGCTGAGTGATACAGGGAGGCAGTATCTATGATGAGTGATACAGGGAGGCAGTATCTATGCTGAGTGATACAGGGTGGCAGTATCTATGATGAGTGATACAGGGAGGCAGTATCTATGATGAGTGATACAGGGAGGCAGTATCTATGCTGAGTGATACAGGGAGGCAGTATCTATGCTGAGTAATACAGGGAGGCAGTATCTATGCTGAGTGATACAGGGTGGCAGTATCTATGCTGAGTGATACAGGGTGGCAGTATCTATGCTGAGTGATACAGGGAGGCAGTATCTACAGTGGGGGAAAAAAGTATTTAGTCAGCCACCAATTGTGCAAGTTCTCCCACTTAAAAAGATGAGAGAAGCCTGTGATTTTCATCATAGGTACGCGTCAACTATGACAGACAAATTGAGAAGAAAAAAATCCAGAAAATCACATTGTAGGATTTTTAATGAATTTGCAAATTATGGTGGAAAATAAGTATTTGGTCACCTACAAACAAGCAAGATTTCTGGCTCTCACAGACCTGTAACTTCTTCTTTAAGAGGCTCCTCTGTCCTCCACTCGTTACCTGTATTAATGGCACCTGTTTGAACTTGTTATCAGTTTAAAAGACACCTGTCCACAACCTCAAACAGTCACACTCCAAACTCCACTATGGTCAAGACCAAAGAGCTGTCAAAGCACACCAGAAACAAAATTGTAGACCTGCACCAGGCTGGGAAGACTGAATCTGCAATAGGTAAGCAGCTTGGTTTGAAGAAATCAACTGTGGGAGCAATTATTAGGAAATGGAAGACATACAAGACCACTGATAATCTCCCTCGATCTGGGGCTCCACGCAAGATCTCACCCCGTGGGGTCAAAATGATCACAAGAACGGTGAGCAAAAATCCCAGAACCACACGGGGGGACCTAGTGAATGACCTGCAGAGAGCTGGGACCAAAGTAACAAAGCCTACCATCAGTAACACACTACGCCGCCAGGGACTCAAATCCTGCAGTGCCAGACGTGTCCCCCTGCTTAAGCCAGTACATGTCCAGGCCCGTCTGAAGTTTGCTAGAGTGCATTTGGATGATCCAGAAGAGGATTGGGAGAATGTCATATGGTCAGATGAAACCAAAATAGAACTTTTTGGTAAAAACTCAACTCGTCGTGTTTGGAGGACAAAGAATGCTGAGTTGCATCCAAAGAACACCATACCTACTGTGAAGCATGGGGGTGGAAACATCATGCTTTGGGGCTGGTTTTCTGCAAAGGGACCAGGATGACTGATCCGTGTAAAGGAAAGAATGAATGGGGCCATGTATCGTGAGATTTTGAGTGAAAACCTCCTTCCATCAGCAAGGGCATTGAAGATGAAACGTGGCTGGGTCTTTCAGCATGACAATGATCCCAAACACACCGCCCGGGCAACGAAGGAGTGGCTTCGTAAGAAGCATTTCAAGGTCCTGGAGTGGCCTAGCCAGTCTCCAGATCTCAACCCCATAGAAAATCTTTGGAGGGAGTAGAAAGTCCGTGTTGCCCAGCGACAGCCCCAAAACATCACTGCTCTAGAGGAGATCTGCATGGAGGAATGGGCCAAAATACCAGCAACAGTGTGTGAAAACCTTGTGAAGACTTACAGAAAACGTTTGACCTGTGTCATTGCCAACAAAGGGTATATAACAAAGTATTGAGAAACTTTTGTTATTGACCAAATACTTATTTTCCACCATAATTTGCAAATAAAATCATTAAAAATCCTACAATGTGATTTTCTGGATTTTCTTTTCTCATTTTGTCTGTCATAGTTGACGTGTACCTATGATGAAATTTACAGGCCTCTCTCATCTTTTTAAGTGGGAGAACTTGCACAATTGGTGGCTGACTAAATACTTTTTTCCCCCCGCTGTATGCTGAGTGATACAGGGAGGCAGAATCCATGCTGAGTGATACAGGAAGGCAGTATCTAGGATGCAGTAAATGGTGGTGTCAGTGTTTGTGTTCATCTGTGATTTCACAGCCTACAATTCCGGTAATATACGTAAGACACTCGGAAGTGGAAGGGATGGGGCCCAATGCTGCCAGCACATGAAGAGTAATCACACTGATCTAACTCCGCTGCGTCAGACAGACGCATGAGGACACAACACGACAACACTGACGGACTACCTGGTTACTGCTTCTGCACATGAACTGACATGCCCACACACTGATGGAGCCCAACGTCAATCTCTCTCACACACACACACACACCTTCCTGCTGTACACATCTGGGCTTTGAGCTGGACCACCTGGTTTGGGAATGTGTGTGTTTGTGTTTCTATTGCTTCTAGAGTGTGAGAGTGGGTGAGTGAGTGAGTGAGTGAGTGAGTGAGTGAGTGAGTGAGAGAGTGTGTGTGTGTGTGTGTGTTGTGATATAACATGTACCATAGGGATGAAGTAGAGGTTCAGGATTTTCAATCTGCAGCACAAATCTGTATCTAAAAGGGACCTACCGCAGTCCTCCCCTGTACCCTGTGACCTTCTGCAGTCCTACCCTGTACCCTGTGACCTACCGCAGTCCTACCCTGTACCCTGTGACCTTCTGCAGTCCTCCCCTGTACCCTGTGACCTACCGCAGTCCTACCCTGTACCCTGTGACCTTCTGCAGTCCTACCCTGTACCCTGTGACCTACCGCAGTCCTACCCTGTACCCTGTGACCTTCTGCAGTCCTACCCTGTACCCTGTGACCTTCTGCAGTCCTACCCTGTACCCTGTGACCTTCTGCAGTCCTACCCTGTACCCTGTGAGAACCCCATAGGAAAACAACACTCAGGCTCAGAGTGGATGCAATGTGTTGGTTTTGGACAGATTCTGACAGACCTCCTCCCTGCCACCTCTTCTGTCTGCGTTGTATCTCAGACAGCAGAGGGATCAGTTACATTGTTACAACACACTGTTCGTACACAATGACAGGTTGTAAGCTGCCCAATACTTTCTCCGGAGAACAGCTCAGATAATAAATGATTAGTTGTTTGCCTCAAAACAAGAGCATTTAGGGCTAATCTATCATGGGATTAGTGTACCAGAAGGACACTCCACCTGTTACGCATTCCATATTTGATATAGCGACGGAATGTTCTACCTGACTCTGGTCAAAAGTAGTGCACTACGAAGGGAACAGGGTGCTATTTGGGACGCAGCCACAATGTTAAGTCAGACCCAGTGCTAATTTCGTCAACAAAGATTCGTCAAACACCTATTTTTTTCTGTGGCAATTGACGAGACTATAACTGACTAAATAGACCCAGAAAAAAAACTATAACTAAACTAAAATGATTTTTCATTTCAGTTGACTGAAATGAGACCAGACTAACTTATCTCATAAATAGAACTGGTGTAGTTATGTCGCACATGCAGCTATTAACAATATATGAAAATGTCTGCTCTACCCAAAATTACAACCAACTGATTGCAGCATTACTGCCGAAATGGAGGAGGCAAGTGGAAAGGGGAGAAGGTGAGGAACTCGTCTGTTGGCATTAAAGACCAAAATTGGCTAAAGAAAATTGTGATAAATAAAAAAAAGTATACCAGTTTCATTTAAGGATTAAAATAAATTCACAGCTGCACAATACAGGTTGTAAAATAATTGGGAGGGGATTTTCACAGTGCCGATTCCATGGCACATGGTTTATGAACTGATAAACAAAATGACGCCGGATTCAAAACTTAAGAGTTTTCTATTTAAATTAAATTATTATACAAAATTCTTGCAACCAATAGAATGTTATATAATTTATATGGGGGGATACAACCATCTCAGCTCTGCAGATTTTGCTGCGAAGAGACAGAATCATTAGATCACTTGTTTTGGTACTGCCCATATGTAGCTTGCCACGCCTCTTGTGTAATATCTACAGTGGGGAAAAAAAGTATTTAGTCAGCCACCAATTGTGCAAGTTCTCCCACTTAAAAAGATGAGAGAGGCCTGTGATTTTCATCATAGGTACACGTCAACTATGACAGACAAATTGAGGAAAAAAAATCCAGAAAATCACATTG